CTGTCTCTTCTGCTTCCTTCAGCAGCCGCTCAGCATAGCGCTGCTGGTGCAGCTGACGATAAGCAGCAAGATCTGCTGCTGCTGCTGCTGCTGCTGCTGCTGCGTCCTGAGCATTGTTATCTCCCACAGAAGCGTTCGGGGTCCCCTGCACTGCTGCTGCTGCTGCTGCTGCCTCTGCTGCTGCTTGAGCCGCTGCTGCTGCGGCAGCTGCTGCTGGAACTGCTGCTGCTGCTGCTGCTGCTGCTGCAGGAGCAGCAGCAACAGAACCACCAGCAGAGCTGATATCCCTCTGTTGTTCGTCGCTCATGGTGTACTATGTCTCAACCCACGCTACATTCAAACTGTTGCTGCTGCTGCTGCTGTTGCTGCTGCTGTTGCTGTTGCTGCTGTTGCTGCTGCTGCTGCTGTTGCTGTTGCTGCTGCTGCTGCTGTTGCTGTTGCTGCTGCTGTTGCTGCTGCAGAGCTCGCTGCTGTGTCTCAATACAACCATCGGAAGACTGCGCCGACTACTCAACGGCTGCTGCTAAATTGCTTCGCTGCTCTTGCTGCTGCTGCTTCTGCTGCTTCTGCTGCTGCTGCTGCTGCTCCTGTTGCTGCTGCTGCTGCTGTCGGTGCTGCTGCTCGCTCCCCTTATTCCCTCCGCTGCTGCAGCAACTGCTGTTGCTGCGAGGCCGCCGATGTCGCCAAGGATTATGGAACGGTTGTTGCTGCTGCAGCAACTGTTGCTGCTGCAGCTGCTACTGTTGCTGCTGCTGCTGCTGTCGCTGCTGCAGCTTTTACTGTTGTTGGCGCAGAAGTTACTGTTGCTGTAGCAGCTGCTGCTGCTGCTGCTGCTGCTCTTGCTGCTGCTGCTGCTGCTGCAGTTTATGCCAAAGCTGCTGCTGTTGCTGCTACACCTGCTGCTGTTGCTGCTACACCTGCTGCTGCTGCTGCTGCTGCTGCTGCAGAGGTCCAGCGGTTACGGGGGCTCAGGGGTGGAGGCTGACGTACACTGCTGCGCCGCAATATAATTTTGTTTGTTCCCCTACTGGGGATCTTGAAACAGCAGCAGCAGCAACGACAACAACTGCAGCAGCAGCAGCAGCAA